GCTTGGCCTGCTGTGTTCATCCAGCTCTACACCTTGGTATCTCAGATTCTCCAGCATCTGCAGTTCCTACTATCTCTGGTAAAATCTTAGCCACCATTTGTACTTTTTCATAAGCATGCTAAGCATATAAGTGAATACTCTGGGGATAAGGGTTTAATCCCAAAATGGCAGCTAGTGGAACTTGAATAAATCTGGAATTAAAAACTTGTCTCAGTGATAGTCACCACAAAGCTATTTTCAATTATCATAAGAAAACCATCTAGTTCACTAATGATCTTTCGAAAAGGAAACTGTCATCCTTACCTGGTCTGGCCTACGTGTGACTCCAGATTCACAGTAAATGTCACTGACCCTTAACTGCACTTTGAAGTTTAAGAGCAATTAGGAATGGGTAGTAAACTTGCCTTGCTGGCGACACCCACATCCCATGAACGAATAACGATAAAGTATTTAATGTTCATGAAAAGCAAAGAAAAACCTCATGGCATGAACAAAATAATACTTTTCTATTGTTGAGAAAGAAACTCTATTGTCAAAAGTAGCAGCAACCAATGATTCAATTTATTACCAGTGACACCAAATCAAACCTCTAAGTGAGCTCAAAGTTTTGACATCTTTCAGGCGAGGATACAATATTGCCCTATCTGACTGGTTCTACAAAAATGGCTTTCCATGCACAAGTAATATAGTGTCACAAGTAAATAAAGAGTAGTTGAAGTTCGCCACAATTAGTTCTCTTTGCTGTCAGAAATGACCCCACTCCCCATGTATGTTCAACAAAGAAAAAAAATGGTAAATTGAGTCAAGTCAAGATGTTACCTCGGTCATCCTGGTACCTTGGTGCTCCCTGCCTTTGTCGATTAGCTGCATTTACTATTTCATCTTTCCTACGTGCTTGAGTAATGTGGATGGCTTCCAGATGTCGATCAAGAGCTGTAGAAATATTTGCATGAAGAGGCGAACTGCGAAGGCGTTCCATTTTTCCAAGTAATGTCACAACCTGTTAAAAGAGGATTATTACAGATCATGCATTTATTAATCTAGTCATAAAAATGTGCTATTACTTTACTGGTGCTGGTACTTAAATAGGGCTGTAAGTTACTGCTTGTATGCTTAACTATGCGTAAATTTAAATTAGTTTGCATGGTCATACATAGGGAATAAAATATATATGGATGAAATGATCTCCAGTTAATTGAAGTTTGCAAAATATAAAATGTGAATTTATTTTTTGCATGTGTAGCATATAATGGGTGTGAAAATTATAAAATATTTTTAAAGTTGAACTAATAATTAAATTTCTACAGGACAAAATAACCATAAGTATTTAAAAATAATATTTACATCAAAACAGAAATGACTAAAACTAACTGGAAACAAACAAAGTATTGGCTATAATCAGTTAAAACGCTGACATTGAATGATGGCTCAAGAATACTTTAACATACAGAACTATAGACAGCACAAGCCTTATGAAATGAATTTATATTAATTCTTTACTTGCTCTTAACCTTAGCAAAAGTAATTGAAAAGATGTCACAGAAATCTTGGTTTCTAACAAAAATCAAATCTGATTTATTCATAACCAACTGGTCACAAAAGGGAGACTACTTTTTTTTTGTGCCAATTTACCATATGCAGAACCATGCTCATGATCAAATGCCGAATATACATAGAACCTTCCAATATGATGACACTTTGAGTGGCTTCCCTGAAACAGTTACCCCAGCATTCACACAAAATCAAAAAATTATCTTGTTTATTTGAAGTTGTGGTGTTGCAGAACTGACAGACATAACTTGCCAAAACAAATCATCAATCACTTTTTAAATACAAATTAAACTGATGCTGTGTGTAATGCCAGAAAAAAGTCTTTTCCTGCAGAATGGGAACATAGGAATGAAAGTAGGCCATTCAGCCAGTTGAGCCTGTTTTAGCATTCAATGAGATCATGGCTAATCAGTGGCCTAACTCCATATACCTGCCTTTGGCCTATATTCCTTAATACCTTCGCTTAACAAAAAACCCATCTACCTCAGACTTAAAATTAACAACTGATTGCGTATCAACTGACATTTGTGGAAGAATTTCCAGACCTCTATACCACTCTTTATGTGTCCCTCCTGAATAGTCTGGCCCTAATATGCCCCCTACTTCTAGAATCTCTAATCCATAGAAATAGTTTATATTTATCTTACCCTGCCTTTTCCTAGTCATATCTTGAAGTCTTCAATTAGATCATCCCTCAACCTTCTAAATTTTAGAGAAAACGGGCCTGATTTGTATAATCTCTCCTCATAACTTAACCGCGAATCCAGGGGTCATTCTTGTAAATCTACATTGTGGCCCTCCAAGGCCAATATATCCTTCCTAAGGTGTGGAGTCCAAGTTTCATAAATTAATGGTTACCATAATTTGCAGAGTCATAGCAAGAATTGCTGGAATGATCAATAATCTCAGTAACCTGGTTTCCAAGATCCTGACAGACCCTTCTGGAAAACTTGAACTTACAAAGACTGCTGCTTTGATAGCTGGCGTGATACCTAGCATTTGTACAACTTCACTTGGATAATGTTGTATGAGCATGAACCTGCATTTCATCTTATTTCTCTGATATGAAAGTCATATACTGCATATATGATGCAATAAAATCACCACTTTATGAAAGTGAGAACTATGCATACGGTTGACAACTTCACTGGGGGAGAAAAACTAGTCTGCATCCTTATGAATAACGGTATCTCACTGATTGGCAGTGATGAAGGAAACTATGAAGGCTTAAAAACCCTCCAGAAAAGATTTTGATGTACCTGCCATTTATTATTTCACCTTAGAACAATAGAAAATCATAAATAAAAACCAAATGAACTGCGGATGGTGTAAATCAGGAACAAAAACAGATGCTGCTGGAGAAGCTCAGCAGGTCTGGCAGCATCTGTGAAGAAAAAAATCAGAGTTAACGTTTTGGGTCCGGTGACTCTTCCCCAGAACAGAAAATTATAAATACTTCCTATTAAGACTGCAAACATCTAAATCAGACAAACTGTATAAGATCAGCATTGATATTGTTATGTATTAGCAAAAGTGAATAAAAGCAATATTACAAATCACCCATCAACTGCTGTTTCATCAGCACGTGCTCAATGATTGATAGATGTACCAGCTACTTATACAAAAATGTCAGATTTGGAAAATTAACATATGAATGTCAAATATGTTTTAAATACTCGTTGTTTTATTTCTCAGCAAGTACTATTGTTCAGTGTATTCAAAACGAGTAAATTCTGATATTTCTCCAAATATCTGCAGCATTTTTTTATTCATTCATGAGACGTGGGTGTCACTGGCTGGCCAGCATTTATTGCTTGTCCCCAGATGGCCTTCAGAAGGTGGTGGTGAGCCGCCTTCTTGAACCTCTGCAGTACAGCATTTCCAAAATGTGGATGGTGAGACTTCCAACGGTTACTGACATGTTAATGGAAATCTTTGTGGGGTAAGAGTTAACAGGTGCAGGTCAGTTTTCCCAGACATTGTACCAAGACCCCAATATAGCTCCAACGGCAATTCTGAAATGAGAATGCTGAAGTCATTGACATCTCCAGATTGTTTGGCACCTTTGCACTATCTAATCCTGCTGGCCACCTACTGCTTTGTTAACCATTAACTCCAGAGTCTTTTCCGTCTTTCTGTAGGTCCTTCTCATCTTTCAGGAAGATGCAGCAGTAGACTTGGAGTAAAGGAGAATGCTGTCTGAGAAACACTTTTACTAACTTCCTTTTCCAACTACCAGAGAATTGTTATTAGGTATAGGTAATTCATATAACACTTGTGAACAGGAACAAGAAATATTGGAATGGGAGGTCAAAACATTGCTTAACAGAGAGAAAGCTTGGGTCTTAACTTTACTATAGGAGTTTGAGAGGCAGCTAGAAACCCAGCCTACAAATAAACTCCACGACATGTATAATCTATTGCTGAGAGTATTAGGCTACTTGCTTGAGTTACTGCACCATCTTTTAGTCCAAGGAGTTTCATGTAAATATGAGTGCAACATTTCTAACCAATGGTCTTAGCAGCCTTTAATCTACTATGGAGCATGTATTCACTTCTGGATACTGTAGCATGACTTATGCCAGAAGTTTATATGATCAGCTCAGGCAGCTTTGATAGAAGGTTCAACTGACATAATCTAAGCTGTGGCACAGCAACCACGATAGGCCATTTAGCCCCTTGAGCCTGTTCCACAATTCAGTTAGATCATGTTTGAGTTGCATGTTACTCAGTTTAGCAGCTTTGGTTCCATATTGTCTTAATACTATTATCTACTAAAAATAAATCAATCACCGTTTTGAAATTTTCAATTGATCTCAACAGCATTTTTACCAAGTTTCATGTTTCTTGTAACCATTGTATGAAGTGTTTCCTGTCATTCCCTGAACATTCTTGCATAATTTTTAAGGTTATGCATTTGGCACTAAGTATTTCCCCAAAATAATCTACCCCAATAAATGCTTTCTTCATAATAAACATCTCAATCAGTTTACTCCTCAGTCTTACATATTTTAAGGAATACTAGTATTTATGCAAACTGTAATGCGTTTAGTCTCAGTAGTATTCTGGTGAATCGGTGCTGCATCTGCTCAAATCCAATATATAAATATATCCAATATATGTGAGATTTGAAAGGATCTCTTCCCCAACATTTGCACCAGTGCTGTTCAAAAATGACAGCTACTCACCATGGAGTGTAACTGCCACAGGCATGTGGCAAATCACAGAATCACACAATATTGATTTGTGTTATAGTTGCAGTTGGGGTCTGGGTAAGGATGTCAGACCACTGTTTGTTGTCCATCCCAATTCAGCAAGGCCTCATCAGCCATAAGAACTAGGAGCAGGAGTAGGCAATTCAATCCCTCAATGTGCCGCACATTATAATCTAATTATTCTGATCTCATCTTCATCTCAACTCTACTTTCCTGCCTTATTCCCTTTAATCCTTTAACCCATTACTAATTAAAAATATACCTCCTGCTGAAACTTATTTACTGTCCTGGCATTTAAAGTAGTGAATTCCAGAGATTTATGACCCTTTAAGAGAAATACTTCCTCCTCATCGGTTTTAAATCTGCCATCCCTTAGCCTAAAATTATGGCCTTTCATTTTAGATTGCCCCACAAGGGGAAACATCTGCTCCATGTCTACTTTGTCAATTCCCTTTAACACCTTATATATCTCAATTAGATCTCCTCTCATCCTGATTGTTGATGGTTTAAAACCTAAAAAGTTCTTTCAAAAGATTGCACATTCATCTATATGTATTGTATTATGTAGTGAATATGGTGACCTCATTGCCCAATGTTTAGCGGCATCAAAATCCTACTTCATAATACTGATATACATTGTTCTTGTTTATCCTGGACAACTCCCTACAGAAGGCAGATGGTATCTAGCATTTCCCATTGCCAAAGAAATCAATTGGAGAGGAGTCACTTCAACATTTGTAAATGCATTACCTGTTTTTACATACTGACCCCCTGTTTCCTTCAGCATTGTTGAAATTCTTTCTCAACAATTTGATGAGCTGAATAGCTTCCAGCTCCATTTTAAAATTATCCTGATAGTTTGACTCCTCTTAACCAAATCAACATCGTTAACGTTTGTTTCGAGATCAATTTTCTGTTTATACCTGTCGTAATTTAGCATTGTGTGGTGGCATGATAAATGTACACAGAGGGAGAAACGGACAGAATGTTTTTAAAAAAAGCTCTCAGTGCTTGTTAACAATTGAAATGATTTGTAATTTTATTTTTGATAAGGTATTAAATAACTTAAATCAAGTTATAGAAGCCATTGTATATAAGCATATGAATGTGTTGGCTATGGATAGTGGGGACTATACTACAGGTGTGGTCTAAACAGAACTCTATGCAACTCTCAAATAACTTCCAGCCCTTTGTATATCCTAGAGCCGAGGGTCACCTTAGCCTTTTAAGTTAT